AACATGACCTGACATGATGCACTGAGAGTATTGTAATATACAAACCTACAGATTCAGTCAGAGTAAAGTCTTTGTACATTTTAATAGCGAGTAAAATGTTTAATCTGTGTCCATGCAGCAGTAAAATTAATCAGAGTTAACTCGATTAATTTCACAGCCTTAGAAAATACAAACATTAGAACTCACAGACCACCACTAACAATTACACCGAACATCCATACAGTCATAAAGTTTGAGTTTAAATGTTCAGAAGAAGAAAAAAGGAGGGTGTAATGAAACTAATACTTTATGTTTAATCCAGTAATTCATGACATCCTTTAATGACCTAGGTTTTCATGACATGCTGTTCATCTGCAGATATGATTAAAGTCAGAACAAGATNATATTACCATAACAGAGGGTAATAACAATGTTATGCAGTAAATATCCCATTTATGTAGTTGTTCCATTTCTTCCAATACTTTTCACATTTCTCTGCAACAAGTCTCAGTGAAAAGTCAATCTGTCCATTACACATACAGTATTCTTTATTGTCTCCTTCCAGTCCAGTGTTCACAGTGAATCTGTATCCAGACACTTCTGAGTCATGGCTTTCTTTGCACCTGTTAGTATTAAAAGAAGCTATCTGTCCTGTTTGTTCAGTTTTATGGTAGAGGACATAAATAAAGCACAGTGAAGACACAGTTTAGGTTCAGATCCATGGTGTTGATTTGCTGCCTGTTGTATTCTGAGTGAGATGTTTAAAAGCTGTTTGTGCTTCCAGGCAGCAGAGTTTGAGGGCTGGTCTGATGTGCTCTTCCTGTCCCAGTTCCTCCTGTCCTGTGTCATGGGGTAAGATGGGGACCAGCTTGTCTGGATGGTTCCACATATCTGTGGTCTGATGAACTCAGACTGTGGCATTCACAGTGACTCTGTTCTGCAGGGTTGCATCATCATTGTGAAATCCTTTTGTCAAGTTGTAAGACGAACGTGTTTTCTTGTTTTTAGCTTCATTCTGATGTATTCCACTGTACTGTGTACGCAGTACAACTCTGCGCTGACCACTACCATTGTGGGCTGCATCAAGGTGAGTTGAAGAAGCCTTACCTGCAGGACGGCAGAAGATGCTCAGCCTCATTGTTCCTTCCTGTCTGCAGAACGTTCTGGTCACCTACATCGGCATGGTGTTCGGTGGGGACTACATTTTCTCATGGACAAACTTTATAGGTTTGAATATTAGGTACGTAAAACTATGTTTAAGGTCAAGTTAAAGATGTATCAGATCTTCAACATGATGGTTACTGATCTGACTGTTCAACATGTAGGGCTACAGAGAACCTTTATTAGAATCTGAATCAGGTTCATTGTCAGTGAACAGGATTCACAGACTGGGGATGTGCTTCAGTGTAAAGGTGCAGTACGTATCAAATATAATAAAGAAAAAACAAAGGATAAAGGAAGAATATCATAAAATATATAAAACATGTACACCAGTTCAATACAGTAATCAGAGCAGACAATATATCTGGAGTAGTGATAAAAGTGACCAGAAAAACAGTACAGTCAGGGTTGTGCTGTTTAAGAAACCAGTGATAAAGTGACCAATTGTCAACAAATTGAAGCTTTAATTTAATCATTAAATTATGAATGTGTGCAAACTAAACAGCATGATTCACAAAAACAAGTTTCTACACTCGCTTGAGTTGGTTTTTGGATTTATCAAAAAACACTTCATGTGCAAAAAGTTAGAAGGAAACATTTTCTGAAGAAGTTGTGAGGTAGTAAACATCTCCCTCACATGTTGATCAGCTGTTCCTGCTGTCCAGGAATTGTAGCAGGACCTCCTCCAGCTGTCAGTTATTCCTGTAACTTGAAGAGAAAATCATTTCTTTCTCTACGTCTGCAAACAGCAGTAACACCAACACTAGTTAATCATCGTGCTTCCATCCAGTTGTAGAGAGAATTTTTATCGAACTTTTCAAAATTCACAAAAAATTAAATAAATAAAAATTTGAATCTAGACCGTTTCCATCTAGTTTCCCTCTCGACTATTTGATGCAAATAAACGAGGCTACGCAATGCGTGATTACGTCAGACGAGGCTACGCAACGCGTGATTACGTCAGACYAGGCTACGCAACGCGTGATTACGTCAGACGAGGCTACGCAATGCGTGATTACGTCAGACGAGGCTACGCAACGCGTGATTACGTCAGACGAGGCTACGCAATGCGTGATTACGTCAGACGAGGCTACGCAACGCGTAATTGCGTCAGACGAGGCTACGCAATGCGTGCTTATGTCAGACGAGGCTATGCAACGCGTGATTACGTCAGACGAGGCTATGCAACGCGTGATTACGTCAGACG